TCTTCTAAGAAATAAGATTTTATAAAGTAACTTCTTTTTTGATTGCAAAAACTAATATCTTTGAGACATTCCACTGATTTCAATGACAATACTGAGAGAGAATAGTGAAAAATAAGAGTATTGATATTAATATTAATATAATGATGATGAATATGTGACGTTCACTTATAACTAAAATGACGATGACAAGTAAAACAGACATATACTTAGACTGGAACATACTTTATTGAATACTTAACTCAAAATGAGTAGTATATTTATAATAATTTTGCTAAAAGCTTTATGGATAACAATTTTTATGAAAAAATGTTGTCTCAAAAAATAAATTACCTGACAAGTTTTAAATTTTTGAAATATATGTCAATTTTAAGATAAACCCGCCAAATGTATTTATTTTCAAATTTTGAAAGAAAGTACAAAAATTATCAAAAATGCAATTAAAATATTTATCTAAAACTTTTTTATATTCAAATTATTTATAAATGCAAAATAGTAAATGTCTTGAAAAGCAAAAGTAAAAATAAAACAAAAATGTAATCAAATTTTGTGCCAAGTTCAAAGTTAGATAAATAAATGTGTCTGTTTGTTTTTACGTATTTGAAATGACTTTTTTGCAGAAAAACAAACCAATTCTGCGCAAGAATTAATTCACTTTAATACGTGAAAAAATTTTATAGACTAAAGCAAAAAAAGTTTAGTTGAAAAAAAAGCAAAAGCAAAAAATAGAATTTTGTGCTTAGAAAGGATTCAGCGTCGCTTCTCAAACAATGCTATTCAATCTTTTCAATTCATCCTACTTTATCCATTGTGCTAAAAATAATATCAGTGAAAAAGTTTTACATTAAAATTTACCATTTTTCTTTTTTTTTCTCAAAAATGCTTCCACGGAAATTGCACGTGTTAAACGTTCCTTTACGTTGTCATTACTTGTTTCTTCTTTTGATTTATTAACCGAAAAGTTTGCATTCTCTGAAAAGTATTAGACTGAATTAAACCTATAATATTAATTGTTTTAACGAGGTGACATTTGCAATCAAAAATCGTAAAAATAAATTGCGTTAGAAAAAGACAGCTTTGTTTTAATTTTTTGCTTTTATTACAGTAAACAAAAGAAATATT